TTTTTTACATTTGAAAAAGTATATTTTAAAAAAGTAAGTTTTTATAATTAATACTTTAAAAATATTCGAAAAAAATTTATTGTAAGTTATAAATCATTTTTTCTTTAAAGTAATACTTATTTATTTATAGTAACAATAACTAATAATGTAATTTTTATGGATAATTCAATTATTTCTCATTAATGGTATATAATAGTTGCTTTAAAGATTCTTCATTAATAGTTTGCAAATTATTTGTATTATTATTTACACCACTAAAATTTTGTTCTATATCTGTATTGAATATATTCATTTCCATGTCATATGCTGCATTTCTAAAAGTTTCATAAGGTTTTGATATAATTTCTTTTTGTATGGGAGATGATACTCGTAAATGTTCCATTTCTACAGTGGGTGAAGATAATCCATTTTCAAGTGGAAGTATTATCATTGAAAAAAAATCATTTGCATCTTCTTGAAATGGTTTTTCAGTTTTTGAATATATTGTTTTACAAGTTTCTAAAGATTTTTTAAATGTGGAACTATTAGGAATGTCAGATTTCCATATATTTTTTGTTCTTTCATTTTTATTGTTTGTTTCTGTACATTCTTCTAATTTTTGTTTCTTATTTGTAATAGTTTTTTCAATGTTACTTTCTTTTGTTAAAAGATGTTGGCCTTGAGTATTTATTATTAGCACATATTTATTTTCTTCATTATTTATAATATTTAGCATTGATTGATTTTCTTTTAAAAATTGTTTTTGAGCTTTATATATATCATTATTTATATCTTGTATATTGGATAGACTTATTGATTTTTGATCTATGGTACTTGTTTGATGTGTATTTCCTATTTGTTGTGCTGGACATTTATGAGTTCTTTGACTTACCTATAATCAAATATTGAATTATAAATTAATTAATAAAATGTCACATTTTTGTAATTATATATTATACCTTGTATCTGAAATTTTTTCCACATATTATACATTTGTAAGGCATTACACCTGTATGAATTCTACGATGAACTAAATATGAAACACGTTGACGAAAACATTTTCCTAAAAAAAAAAAGATATGAATTATTTAATAAAAAGAACTATTTAATAAAAAATTAATTTTTTTATATTTTTTTATATTATTTTATTTTTAATTATAAAAAATAATTTATAATTACAAAATTTACAAATTATAGACTATATAAAAGCATAATTATTGTTTATTTAGTCATTATTTTTAAATATAAGCTATATTATCTAATAATCTAATAATAAACTACAAAACATTGTTATACATACATTGCAGAAACAGAACAATCCATATTAAATTGTTAGTAATAACTGAAAACAAAACATGCATTATTCTAAAGTTTTTATAGCATTATTTTAAACAAAAATTTTATAAAAATTTACATACCACAAGTTTCACATGCAAAAGGTTTTTCTCCTGTATGAATTCGTTCATGATTATGTAAAGTAGATAATTCTTTAAATGATCTACCACAAGTTGTACATGTATGAGGTTTATCATCTTTATGATATAATCTATGTTTATGATATGACTGTTGGAAAGTAAAAGTTTTATTGCATATATTACATTTATAAGGCATTTCTCCTGAATGTAATCTTTTATGTTTTTTTAAAAAATATTTTGTTGTAAACATTTTACTACATATATCACATTCCCATTGTTTAGCTTCATGTGTTTTTAAATGTTGCATTACATGTTGTTCCTAAAATAATTTACTTTATTTTTCTATAAAAAGAAAATATTTTAAATGCTAATTAATTATTAATTCTACCTTTTTAAATTTTTTTCCACATGTGGGGCAATTATACTTATTTTCATTAAATATGAATTCTATTTGTTCATCTTTGGCTAAAGAACCTAAAAATATATATATATATATATTAATATTTATTATTTGATTTTGTTATCTATTAATAAATATTAATATTATATTATAAATATATTAATATTATATTATAAATATATATTATAAATATTAATATTATAATAAATTACCTAAATTACATCCCATATGTGCTACTCGCATATGCACCATTAAACTACCTTTCATCTTAAATACTTTAGAGCATAAATGACATGAATAATTCTTAAGTAAATTTTCAGGAATAATATTTAAATCTTTTTCATTAATCATATGTACTAATTGTTTATGTAAAAGCAAAATATTATGATCTGGAAAATGAAAACCACATATATTGCAACGTTCAGTCTTTTGTTTTGTTGATGATAATGTTTTTATAAGTTTCAATTGAGGTAATATTTCTTTTTGTTTAAGATTTTCATTTTGATTTTCATTACATGTAATATATAAATTTTCTTGTATATCTTTATTATTAGCTTTTTGTAATGATATGTTAGTATAAGAACTTGAAAATTTATTTAGTGTCATTTCATTATTATGAGATTCATTATTTTCTAGAGATTTTTCTATTTTATCTGTTACATTTTCATTTTGTTGTTGATTCTGCATCCAATTTTTATATGTCTGAACATTCCCATATTCTGTTTCTGGATAATTTTGCATATAATTTATATGTTTAATATTTTGATTAGTAAAGTATTGTGTAGCATAATTTAATTTCATTGTTTCTTGCAGTATTTGTTGAGAATCTTTTTGTAATTCTACTTCTTTGCTCTTTTGAAATGTATTTGTTTCTTTATTTTCACAAATTGAATTTTGTAAAGATGTAATTTGAGGTACATGATTTAATTGATTTTGATCAATAGAAATTTCTGAATTAAAAACTGGAGATTCATTTTTTGTATGCAAGCTTTGCGAAGACATTGAATTATTTTGAATATTTAAAATATTTTGAGAAAATTTATTTGAATCTGTAATTTCTATTTTAGACACATTCCAATCTTGAAAAATAGTATTTTCTAAATTATTAATTGCTGATGAATTATAAGTACTAGGAATAATATTTGTATGTTTCAATGATTCTATTGTATTATTACTGTTTAAATTAATAGTATGGCTAAATAAATGAATAGTAAGTTTATCAATACCAAGCAATACTTCATTACATACAGGACATGTAAGAGGTCTTGTGGCTACACTTATCAATCCTGCTCTCAATGCATCCAATGTTAAAAAACTTGGTTGTGCGCACAAAGGACATGCTAAAAGTCTTGCACACATGTTTCTTACCACTCTTTATTCGTAATATATTTTATTTAAGATAATTAATATAATTAATATTATATGTAGTATAGTTTCATATTGTTTCTTTTTTATAAGACACTGTAATTGTTATCATTATTAATATATATTTAATAATATAATACAATAATATAAATGATAATTATTCTTCATTTTTTATTTGAATTAATAAAAATTAATTTTTATTTTGACTATTAAAAATACAAATACAGATGTGTGAGATACAAATTTAAAGCAACTGATTAATTTAAATTTAACATTGTCATCTATAATATTAGGGTTATGCCTGAACTTGACCCAATAGCACAAATTAAAGATCAAAATTATACCTCAAATGTCAATAACTAAAACAAAAAATATAATGGAATAGAAATTTTTTTTTTCTTAAAATACACGGAATAAAATAAAGTTTTATATTTAGCAATTTAATTATAGAACAAGGATTTCAAATATTTATCTGGGATTTTTTTAATTCTTTGTGAAGTGTATATGTTACTTTTGAAGCTATATTTAGAAAAAGAGCGGGATATTTAAGAAGAAAATGTGATAAAATCAAGAATAGTTTTATTAAATTGAAGAAGTATAAAATTTATAATAATATAATAATATTATAAATATAATAAAAAATATTTATTTTAAAATATTGGACATTTGTATGGTCTACCATCCTTACAACAATATTCCCTTCCAGCAGAAAGATTTGTATTAATCCATCCACTCTTACAGTTTTTAATAAATAAATAGGCCTATTATAAAAAATATATATATATATATATATATATATATATAATTTACTTATAATGTTATTATAATATAAAATTGCATAATATAACATAAATTTTTTATTATGAAACAGTGTAATAAAACTTACCTTTTCCTTATAACAATCACGTTCTATTGAACTACATAAAATTTTAGAACTATTTGGAAGATATTTAATAATCTATAATAAATATTTAATAATTTTTAATTAAGAAATTTTTAATTATGAATTTAAAATAAAAAATTAATAATGATATTAATAAAATATACATGTAATAATAAATTTATATTTTTGTGAAATAACTTACAGTATCTAAACATTTACTTATACAAATTTTATTTCCAATTGGAGTACATGGAAATACTCCAGGCAAACCATGAATTAGAGCAGGATTTCCTTCAAATGATTCTTTATTATCTTTTTTAAACTCTCCACTTAAAAAAATTCCACAAATACAGCTAACTGAAGATTCAGTAGTTAAGATTTTTGAAGTGTTATTTAAAGCTTTTACTTTAATTTGATTATCTGCTAATATGGATGAGAAAAAAAAAACAGATAGTAGAAATATTGGATACATTTTTTCTGTAAAAAAAATATTTATATTAAATGTTTATATCAAATTTTATTTAAGTAAAAATTAAATAATAATTATAAATAAACAAAAACTTTTTAATAATATGTAAAGTCTATAAGAGAATTATAAATTATGAAATCATAAAAAAATATATATTTTTCAATTTATATTTTTTCCTTTATAATACTTACTCCTTTATAATACTTAATTGAGTTGATTATGTGAAGTGATGATAATAAAAATTATAAGTTATTCACTTGCATAAAATAATAAAAATGAATAAGTTGGCAGGTTTTATTAAAAATGTCTTGTCTTATTAAGTCAGCAATTAAAATAGGTCACATACTTAATAAGCAATATTTCATAATACTGCAATCATATTACATATATATATATATATATATATATATATATAAGAATATTATTATTTTCTTATTAAAAATTATACAGTATTATATCTAGTATATTGATATTTTATTTAAATATTGATTTTTTAATTAGTTTTGCATTTCCTTTTAAAACTATTTTTTCTCCATTTGCAATACAAATATATTCACATTTCATAATTTTTCTTATAGAAACAATTTGCACTTTTATTTCTATTATATCTCCAGCATAACATGGTGCTGGAAATTTAAAATTTTGCTCAACTACTATAGTTCCTGGGCCTGGAATTTTTGTACCAAGTATTCCTGATACTAAACCATTAAGTAAAGCACCATGAACAAGATGATTTGATACTTCAAAATGTATTGGATTATAATCACCAGTTAATTTAGCAAAATTTAATATATCATCTTTTGTAACAGTTTTAATAACTGATATTTCATTTCCAGCTTTTAGAGTTTTTAAAATATCTGAAGATCCTGTGCAATATCTTTTTAACAATTTAAAAAATATTTTTGTTTGCATTTTATTTTATATTTATTTTATAATATATAATTTCTTAAATTATTTTACTTTTTAAAGTTTCAAAATTTTTTTATATTTTAAAACATTTGTTATGTACTTTTAGAATTTTCAATTTTATCTTTTATTATAATACAATCATTAAGAAATATTGTTATCAAATTTTTTATACGTTTATTTTTACAATTTGATAGATGAGATATTTTTTCAATTAACTCAGTTGTTATTTCATTTTTAGAGTCAGGATTAATTAAAAATATTAAAGTAGTAATTATTGAAAGTATGATATCTTCATCTTGTAAAGAAAGTAGTGATGTTAATAATTGAATACCTTGATTACGTAAAATATATAATTTATTTATTGGATCTAAAATATAAGTTTCATTTTAATTATTATTATCATAATTAAATTTATTTTATTAAAATAATTATTTTTGAAACAATTATATACATACCAACACAGATATTACAGATACCTCCTACAGCAAAACGAACTAATTTTAAATTATCTTCTGATAAAGTATGAAGAAACAAATCAATTATTTTTAATTGTCTTATATATCCATAATTAATAGGATCATATGCAAAATTAGCAAGATTTGCCAATACTTGTTCCTTTGCATCTGTGAAAATAATAATATTGTGTTAATTTTATTTAATTATTTTTTAATTATAAACAATTAAATATTTCATTTAAATTACCTTTAGATTTAGTAGTTTTAAATTCTGTAGCTAAAAGTTTTAAGAAATCATAACGACCAATAGAATTCTTTCCAGTACGTTTTATCAATTGTTCCTTACTAGTAAACATAAGAGAATAATTTTTTTTTATATTATATAAAAAAACATTACTCTTATTAATAATAATTAATATTTAATTCATGTTATTTTGTTAGTTTAAAGTCAAATAATTTTTTCACTATTTTATATTATAAGCAACGAGGACTTTTATCTACGTTATTATTGAGTAAAATATTCTGATTAATATTTAATACAATACATATTAATACAATAATATTAATATAATAATATTAATATAATACACAAAAATGAGAAATATTAATTTTGCAATATACTATAAGAGACACTTAAGTAATAAGATTATTCGGATGTGACGTTTAAGATAACTGCATTCTATATGACTATATCTGATTTGAATTATAGTCAATGACCGGATGTCATATTGATGTAAAATTAATCCTATTGGGAGCCGAATTACTACTATTTTTAATTTTATCCTATTAATAAAGCCAATCAGCAATTGATATTCACATCGAATGTGATGTGTGTTTAAGCGCAAAACATATTATTTTTAATATATATATATTCTATATATATATATGAATATATATATATAGAACATCATTGGGAGTCATGATTAACACGTAGCCGGTGTACAACGTGTCTCTTAATAGTTCTAGCCTAAATACATAGTGATTTGGTAATTTGTTGTGAATTGCTTGATTTATAACGTGTTGAATAAAAATAAATGTTAATATGTTTATGACAAATGTTTCTTAAAGTTTAACAGAAATATTTTTCATTATATTTATAGATTTAAAGAAAATATGTTGTCAAATAGAACATCCATGACAAATACTAAAAAAGATATGTTTCCCGATAAGAAATCGTCATCTAAGCAAATGAAAACTTCTACATTAACAAATGCTGCTGGTCTTAGTTCTCTTATTACTTTTACTGTTTTACTACTTGCTTGGATCTCAGGATTTGCTTCTCGATTATTTGCAGTAATACGTTTCGAAAGTATCATACACGAGTTCGATCCTTGGTATGTATTTTTATGTTATTATATTAGGATGTATATATATATATATATATATGTACTAATTTAATATAGATTAATATATTTTTTTTAATGTTTATTTAATATCTTATAATAATATATTAATATACATTAATTAATAATTTTAGTATATGTAAAATAATATATATTAATATTATATATTATTTTATAAATATTATAATATTATTATAAAATAAAATATATATTTATAACATAGGTTTAACTACAGAGCAACAGCATACATGGTGCAACATGGATTTTATAATTTTATAAATTGGTTTGATGAAAGAGCATGGTATCCATTGGGTCGCATTGTAGGTGGAACTGTTTATCCTGGATTAATGATAACATCTGGATCTATACATTATATATTACATTCTTTAAATATCCCAGTACATATAAGAGATATTTGTGTATTCTTAGCTCCAATATTTAGTGGCCTCACAGCCATTTCTACGTACTTATTAACAAAAGAAATATGGAGTGCAGGAGCTGGTTTATTTGCAGCATGTTTTATTGCAATTGTACCTGGTTATATTTCAAGATCTGTAGCAGGAAGTTATGATAATGAAGGCATTGCTATTTTTGCACTACAAATTACATATTATCTTTGGGTTAAATCAGTTAAAACTGGCTCTATTTTTTGGGCTTCTATGACTGCTCTATCCTACTTCTATATGGTATCTGCATGGGGTGGTTATGTTTTTATTATTAATTTAATTCCACTTCATGTTTTTGCATTATTAGTCATGAATCGATTCAGTAATCGTCTTTTTACAAGTTATACTACATTCTATATTTTGGGCCTTTTATTAAGTATGCAAATACCATTTGTTGGTTTTCAACCAATAAGAACATCAGAACATATGGCAGCTGGAGGTGTATTTGGATTATTAATTTTTGTAGCAGCTCTCAGGTATGTTAATTTAATATATTTTTAATATCAATTTGATAAATATTTCTACATAATTTTATTATTATAGATATTTAAGAACTGTACTTACAAAATCTGAAATGAAATACTTTGGAGGAATAGTTGCAGTTACAGCTGGTATTCTTTTATTTGCTTTAATTTGTTTAACTTATGCTGGTGTTGTTGCACCTTGGAGTGGAAGATTTTATTCACTCTGGGATACTGGCTATGCAAAAATACACATTCCAATAATAGCATCTGTTTCTGAACATCAACCTACTACATGGTTTAGTTTTTTCTTTGATTTACATATTCTTGTTACAACATTTCCTGTAGGTCTCTGGTACTGCATTAAACGTATTAATGATGAACGCGTTTTTGGTAAGATTCAAAATAATACTATTTTGTTATTGTAAAAATTATTAATTATTTATTTTACAGTTATATTATATGCTATAAGCGCTGTTTATTTTGCTGGAGTAATGGTGCGACTTATGCTCACTTTAACTCCAGTTGTTTGTATGCTTGCTGGAGTAGCATTTAGTGATCTTCTTGAATTGTTTTTTAAAGAAGAAGATAATGAAAGAAACGATCGAAGTAATAATGGTAGTGAAGAAGAAAGTGAAGAAGAAAGAGAAAGGAGCCCTGGTAGAGCATTATATGATAAAGCTGGTAAACTTCGTAGAATGAAACATGAGAGACCTAGAGGCAATGGTGATGGATTAGGTGTTAATCTTCGAAATGGTGTTGTTATTGGTGCATTTATGTTAATGATGATGTTTACACTGCATTGTACTTGGATTACAAGTAATGCATATTCTAGTCCTTCAATTGTTCTGGCATCATATAGTAATGATGGAGGTAGAGCTATTCTTGATGATTTTAGAGAAGCTTATTATTGGTTAGCACAAAATACACCTATTGATGCTAGAATTATGAGTTGGTGGGATTATGGTTATCAAATTGCTGGAATGGCTAATAGGTATACATTATTAAAAAATAATATATTAAATGTTTTATTTATTTATTTATTTATAAAATAATATATAATAATATGAAATATTTTCTATTTTAATATAGAACTACACTTGTGGACAATAATACTTGGAATAATTCACATATAGCTTTAGTTGGAAAAGCAATGAGCTCAAATGAAAGTGCTGCTTATGAAATTATGACATCATTAGATGTAGATTATGTTTTAGTTATTTTTGGAGGAATGATTGGATATTCTGGAGATGATGTTAATAAATTCCTTTGGATGGTACGAATTGCTGAAGGTGAATATCCACAATACATTCGTGAAAGTGATTATTTTACTGAAAAAGGAGAATTTCGCGTGGATTCAGAAGGATCACCAACCCTCTTGAATTCACTAATGTATAAATTAAGCTATTATCGATTTGGAGAAGTAAAGATTGATTATCGAACGCCATCTGGTTATGATCGTACACGTAATGCCGAAATAGGAAATAAAAATTTTCAGTTAACATATTTAGAAGAAGCCTATACAACCGAGCATTGGCTTGTTAGAATTTACAGGTAATAAATGATAATAATTTAATAAATGATAATAATAAGATTATCATAAGATTATGAATTAATTTTATGTACATAAATATTTTTTTTATATAAATTTTATTTTTAATTGATATATAATTTTAGGGTGAAAAAACCAAATGAATTTAATAGACCAACCATTCCGATATCTAAACGAATTGTTACACGTAATGCTAATTCATATGTTAGTAAAAAGGTAATTTTATGTCTTATGATAATAAATTAAAACTTTTATTTTTTTACAGTTTTAGTCGTATCGTTTTACATTTTTTAAATTATAACATTATATAATTTTGAAATGTAGTTGAAGTTGTGGGGGGGGGGACATTAATGTTTTAGACACCACGCCGAAAGAAAGGTTATATAAAAGGCCGGCCAACTATTATTAAAGGACAAAAACCTCAACGAAAAACTACGTAACATACATTATTATCTAATTCATAATAATTTTCAAATACAACTTTTGTAATAAAAAAAAAAATTACCGTCCCTTGGGTCTGCCACAAACTATACCTCAAATTAAGATTTTAATATCATTAAAAATTGAATCAATTAAAATATAGAATAAAATAAATTTTCAACATTGAGAATAATTGGAATAATTTTTTAACAAGAATAATCTTCAAAAAGAGGATTTAATTTTACTTATTGCAAATATATTTGTTAATTTTCCTAAAATTCATCTTTAAATATTATGTATGATGTTTTTACATATTTCTTAAAATATAATTTCTATATGATAACAATATGTAATAAATTTTTATAAACAAATTCACATTTATAAAATAGAAAAATGGTATCTTTTTGCATTTTAAAGATTTTTGTACTTAATTAGTTTCTTAATTTTTTGTTCACTTCTTTTATCACTTTATGTATATTATATTCAAATTGTAAATTATGAATATGAACTTTGAATTATTAATTATTAAATGAAAAACATAATAAGGAAGTTAAATTTTTGTTATATATATATATATATATATATATATATATATATATAATACATACTTAACACTAATATATATAAAGAAATATTTACTAGTCAAAATGAATAAAAACATTTATTAAATATTAGCAGGTGAGATCAGAGGGATTAAATATGTGTTATGTATACAATTTATTATACTATATATTATACTATTCTTGTTGAATGTTTACTATAAACAAATTTGTCATTTAAAAGTAATATATTTGATTTTTTTTGTATACTATTGAAAAATATAACAAAAAAAAAAAGAAAAAAAAATTAAATTTTATGCAATTAAAAATTTTAAATAATTAAATATATTTTAAATAATATATTTTATTCAAATCTAAAATTTATTTTTAATTATCTTGATCTAAATTATTATCCCTTATTTTTATTGTAAAATACATTATTTGTTTATAATATATATATATATAACTTAATCTGATATTTTTAATAGACATATGTGTTTAAAAAACATGTTTATGACAAAATAATAATTAAAGTAATTTTAAATATATAAAATAGAATTGTGTATATATAATCATTGTATATTTAATTATAAAAGAAGAAACAAGAAAAAAAATACAAATGAAAAAAAGTATATATTAAGAATATTATTTTACATGAAATTCCTATATATATTAAAAAATTTGCAATTATATTATTAAAATATTACAAAATATAAATATAATATAAATTATAATATATTAATTAAAAAAATTTAAATTATAAAAAATAATTTAATACATAAAGATATGAAACATGTAAAATAATAATATGTATAAAAAATATATAAAACAATTTATGTAATTTGTATATCTATGTTATTGAAAAAAATA